ATCTACAGTGTTTGTACCCTTAAGTTGCAATATTTACAATTTATTGCCCTAAAATGTGAAATGTTTATAGTTTTTGTACCCTTAATGAGATATATATTTACAGTTTTCTACCCTTTAGTTTGAAGCATTCGATCAGAGATTTTCTGATTTTTTTAGCAATTTATCTGACTCTCAACTTAATTTATCAAGATTGTTTAATCTTTTACGGAAAAATTAGCAAGTTTGTATTATTTTTTGTTGTAAAATGAGCTCATACACATAAAGGGATTGTTCATAAAAGTGATCTCTGCTGCTCTTAATGTGTCTTAAACTCTTTTATTCTCTTTCCAGGTCTGTTTTTATAGCTCCCGAAGCTTAAAATGACCCCAAATGTTGAGTTTATCCTTTTCAGTGAAGACTTTGGACGGCGTTTGTGAAGCGTTTGGACTAAAAAGTTCAGTGAGTTGCAGTTTACGGGGTTTGATAAGAGGCGAAGAAAAAAAAAACAACCACATTGTAGTGGCACTCTGCGTCCCAAAAGTTCGTTGTACCACCTTTGCAGTTTGTCTAACAAACAATATTTGAATCACTCGACTGAAACCAAGTCTTCTTTCATGATATTTACTTAAAGAACTCAAAAAAGTAGGCTACATTTGCAGAAAAAATAAAAGGCTCGGTACAGATCGGTCAAAATTGTGCTGCTTCCACCGTATCGAACAAATTGCTTTTCACAATAAAAGCATCCTTTTACATTGAGTAATTTTCATTAGTTTTCAATTTCAATTTCTCCCTGGAGATCAATAAAGTATATTCAATTCAATTCAATTCAAGTTATACATTCTAGAAAATATACTCATCAAGAAGTAAATTAAGCATATTTATACATTTTTAATCTAAATTATTATTCTATATGAACTCCCCATTAACTGGCTCTTACACACATCCTGTCGAAATGTGTCCGAAACAGAGATGTATAAAGTACTGGAGTAGAGGAGTGGAGTAGAAGTACAAGTACTATATAAAAGAATTGTCTTGAGTAAAAGTAGAAGTATTATATGAGCACCAGACTTAAGTGGAAGTACGGAAGTACTCAGTTTTTTTTGTACTTAAGTATTGCAAGTAGAAGTATTTCAAAAATTGCTACTCAAGAATCGACAGTACAAGTATAAGTAAAAGTACAAGTACTGTGTACATAAAAAAAAAAGGCAGTCAAAAGTTTGATAGATATTGTTTATATTATTTCAAACCTGTGAAAGACTAAATAAATGTCCATTTAATACTTGAATAATATCTAAATGGAGGCAAACATCATCATCACATGTGTTATTACTGTGCTTTTGTGTACGTGTGGAAATAAAAAACAAAACACCCAAAGATACAAAATCTTATCTTTTGCTTTGTAAGAAAAAATGTCAATGATTTTAAAACTGCCACGTTTTAAAAAACGGCTGGATTTTTTTTTAA